AATCTAAAATATAAAATTTATTATTTATTAATTATTTTTATTTATTATTTTATAATAATTATTATTTTTCAATTTTTTGAAACCAAAAAGGGAACTCACACTTTGATACCAAGTGGAAAGGTCTGCTCTTTTAGATACAGATGGAACTTCGTTAGGTCCAGGTATCATGATCGTGCACACCACCTTTTCCATAACGCTGTAATCTAAAGAAACAAAATAAATTAGTATAAAGATAGTTCAAAAATTTATAATGGTGAATAATGAATAATACCTACCTCTCTCACTTATAAGTCCTGTTAAACTTCGACAACCACGACCAGCACCTATCAAAATAACTTTTTTTGTATTTGACGCACTATGGATAATATTTTTTTTACATTCGACTTTTTAATAATGATTTCTTAGTCTTTACAAAGATTTAATATTTTACTTACTCTATAAGATTGTCCCATAAGAATATTAGTAATTCTCTCAAATCTTGATTTTCATTTTTTGGTTGACTCTGTGTAACGAAACAAAAAAAAATTTTTGTTACAAATTAGTTTTTTTATATTTTATTTTAAAAAAAGAAAATAATAGAGATTTAACACTTACAATAATCGGAGGAATATCAACATCAATGATCCCGTGATTATTGTTTAATATTGTCTCAATATATAAATAAACAGTGTCTATCTATAAATCATAATAAATATTAATTTTATATTCTTTATATGGTATTCCAACCTAAAAAAAAAAATTTACAATACCATATATGAATTTGAAACATTGATTGAATTTGACGTGGCACGTGTATCAGCCCTGAAATCCGCCCTGAAAGGAAAAATTATAAAATTATAAAGACCAATTACTTAGAAATTCAGTATATTATGATTATCGAGCAACGTATAATAACTTACATGTCGTGTACAAAAAAAAATACAACTTCTTTATTATAAAGATCACCACTACACGATTACAAATAATTTTTAGTTTCCCATAATCAATGTGTTCTCATTTTTTTACTTAACAATATTCACCTGCAACAAGCCAAATTTGTAAACCGCTGTCCTAATTTGCCATCCGATAATGGTACTGGAATCAACTTGTATTTCGAATACAAATTTTTTGTCCTATACATTTTAAGCATCTCTATGTCAAATATTGAAAAGAGTTAATAATTTAAAAAAAAAAATTTCTTTTATTGATTATTATATTACCCGCCATGTCAACAAGAAGTTGCCCAGGTAACCGATCTGAATATATTTGATAAAATTTTAATAAAACTTTTGAAAATGATTCGAATGATTTAATGGTAAAGTATTACCTTCAGTAGCATAATATACTGGAGCGAGACAATTCCAATATTTCGATTGTGTACGAATAACATGATGGATTGTCTCCATACAATCTTGACTGGGAATTATCGGGCCTAATTTGCCTGGCGGCTCCCCGAGCAAAACTTTGACACAGGCAAGAGCAGATTTTGATATGGAGTCAAGATTGTAGCCACCCTAATAATTTTAAATGTCATGTAGAACACTAATTTCACGTTAAAAAAATTGTATTATACTGATGTTTCAATTACCTCCAAGGCCAGAATAAGTTTGCCGTTAGCCAATGTTTTCAACATATGAGTCATGTGCCCGAATCCATTTGGTGACACGTGATTTTCACCAATAGGATCGCCTGGATTAAATATATTTAGTTCTCATTTTGAGCCTTTTATAACGACAATTATTAAATTATTTACCTTCGGCAG